AGAGCCTCTCACTAGAAAAGACATCACCATTTTCTTGTCCTTGTGTTTTCTTTTTTTGCGGGGGTAGGGGGGAGGATTCGAGACAAGGTTTCTCTGTGGCTTTGAAGCCTGTCCTGGAACTAGCTCTTCTAGAGACCAGGCTGGCCTCAAACTCACAGATCCAACTGCCTCTGCCTCCAGAGTGCTGGGATTAAAGGCGTGTGCCACCACTGCCCGGCTCTGTCCTTCAGTTTCCATACTGAACTTTTAACGTTGTTTAGATTTAGAGCTCAGCCAAAATCTTGCCAGCTTTATATATGCTTTTTTAACCTTCCTGTGCTTAAAAAGTGTTCTTTTTAGCTTTATTTTTTTTTAAATAAAGTAATGTTGAAAATTCCATTAGTAGAAGTCCTGTTAGGGACAGTAGGATTTTCTTATTTGATTTTTGCTTTTATTTTCAGTATAAGTTTGGTTGATTGTAATACTTGCCTCAATGGCTAGCCAGGTGGCCTTAAGCCTTCTGCTTGGGTCTCTTCAAGTGCATGTTTTTTTCTTGTTTTTTTTTTTTTTTTTTTTCTTTTTTCCCCTTGGAATACATGTTTACAGGTAAGTTTTCTTCACCTGAGTTGCTGACTAGGGTCATAAAAGGAATAAAAATGAAGTATTTATATGTAGGTTCTAGGAAGAGAAAACTTCACGTCTAGCTAAAAGTTCTTAGGGAGTTGTGGTTTTGCTTTGCTGTCATTGGTGCACTTGTACTACTGGCATCTATTAAATTGGAGATTCTGTCAGATATTCTGCAATGCATAGAATTGTCCTTCATTCCCACCATGCCAAAAAATTCCAATCCACGATGTTAGTAAAGCTATGGTTGAGAAATTGCCCTCCGGGCATATATTTTTTGTTTTCCAAGTGCCACTTGATTTTTAGTTTGCTTTTGGAACTTTATCACAAGTAAGAGCAATAGAATCACAACACAACACAGAACCATGTAACTAACACCATCCAGTCTTAGTTCCTCAGAACGATGCTGTCCATGGTATTAGTAATTGTAAGTTTTTTAATTGAAACTTTTTGCATGTGTTTATGTATGCTTGTATATGTCTGTGTACATGTGTACCACAGTCTTTGAGTAGAGACCAGAGGATTACCCATAGGAGTTATGTTCTCTACTTTTACCATGTGTGTTCTGAGATCAAGTTTAGGTGGTCAGGCTTAAGCTCACTCCTTAATTGTCTGAACCATCTTGTCAGCCCTCCCAAAATGTTTTCTGAATGAATTTTCATCTTCCTGTCTTTAAAAATATTGCTTTGGAATTGAGAAACTATTATCCAGCTCTCCTTTCTATAGCTAAAATACCTTGATTTTGGTGATCCTTTTGTATCTACAAGCTCAATTCACAAAATTAATTATATCAGTGTCAGCAGGTACTACATAGTCAGGTACTACACAGTTCTTTGTTGTTGCTTTTTTCTGAGACAGGGTCTCACTGTATAGCCTTGACTGTCCTGGAATAGAGATCTGCCTGCCTCTGCTTCTGCCTCCCATCCCAGTGCCCATCCGAGCCATCTGTTCTTGTCAGATTGTATTCTACTTGATTAGCTAAAACTAAACATACATTAGACTGGAATTCTGTGTATATAATTTGATTATTAACTCCATCAATAAATTGGAAAATATAATCTCAGCCGTAAATATACTGGAACTGGAGTTACAGGCATTTGTGAGCTGTTTGCTGTGTAGTTGCTTGAAATTGAACCCTGGTCCTCTCCAGCCCACATGCCTAGATTTCTTTGAAGACAAGTGCTTTATCATACGCTTAAAGTATGTGTGAATGTTTTGCTTGCATGTATGTCTATTGCTTCACTTGGATACATGTGGAGATCAGAAGAAAGGGTATTGGATTTCCTGGAGCTAGAGTTAGATGATTGTGAGATGTGGGTGTGGGGAATCAAACTCAAGTCCTGGAAGAGCAGCTAGTACTTTTGACCAATAAGTCATTTCTGCAGCCCCAAATTTAACAGACTTTGTTTTGTTTATTAAAGGATTTCTGATCTCCTTTTTCTCCTTTAATTAAAAAGGTTACTGTATTTGTATATTGGGGGGGCTTGTGGGCACACGTGATCCACGTTGTGCATGTGGAGGTTAGAGGACAATCTTGTGGAGTTGGTTCTCTCCTTCCACCTTTACATTGGTTCTAGGAATGAACTCTGAGCTGTCTTTTGGTTTTGGATTGTTAAGTCGCGCTTTTGGGGATTTATAAGATTGAGATTGCTGTGATTGTTTTCATTAACATTTCACTCAGTTTGTTAAGTTTAAGAACTATGGTTGCTGGGTATAGTGGTACATGCCTTTAATCCCAGCACTTGTGAGGTAGAAGTAGGCTGATTTATGTGAGTTCAAGGCCAGCCTGGTGTGCGCAGTGAGTTATAGGACAGTCATAGTTACATAGTTGAGACTATGTCTTGATTTTAAAAAGGGAAGAAAAGTGTGCATGTTTTGCTATACTTGTATTTTTGACTTCCAAAAACTTTTTTCTCTTATTTTCTCTCTCTTTTATTGATAATTAATACTCTTTTATGATGTAGACATTACAAAGGGCAAAATTTTACTACCTATCTTATAAAACAAAATGGACTTCTAAGTTGTGTAGTGCTTATTTTTGTTTAACAACATTTTTATATCAGTAAATACAGATAGCATTATTATTCCATGTTGCATATATTTCTTTATATGAATAGTTAATAATTTAAATTCTTTGGTCATCTCATTACTCATTCTTTTTTAATTTAATCTAATTTTGGTGGCTGGAGAGTTGGGTCTATGGTTAAGGGCCCTCCTTGCTCCTGCAGCAGACATGAATTAGGTTCCCCTGCACCTATATGGTGCCTCACAGCAGCTATAATTCCAGTTCCAGGGAATCTGATGTCCTATTATGACTTCTGAGAATAGACATGCCCGTGGTACACCTACCATGAAGCAAAGCACTCATACACAAAAAAAGTTTTAAAAAATTAATTTTAGTTTTTAAGGCAAATTCTTTTGAAATCGTGACTGAACTTAGACTTTCTACGTAATAGAGGTTGGCCTTGAACTTCTGATTCTCCTGCTTCCATTTATGAAGTGCTGGGATTGCTGGTTTGTGCCGTCATACCTTGTTTTACAAGCCCATTACAATTTTTTTTTTTTAAAAATTGATACATTAAAAATAAAGTAAGAAAACAGTTTTAAATTGTAGTGTTTTTTCCCCCCGGGCTGGGATTAAAGGTTTGGGACACCCCAGTACTAGGATTAAAGGTGTGAACCACCACCGCCTGACCTCTGGTGGCTTACCTTTGCACTCTCATCTTCAGGCAAGCTTTGTTTGATAAAACAAACAAAATATCACTACACGTTGGTGGTTAAGAGCACAGATTACTCTTAACTCTTCCAGAGGATTGGTGTTCTATTTCCAGTGTTTATATAGTGGTTCACTACCATCCATAACTCCAGTTCTAGGAAATCCAGCGCCTTCTCCTGAATTCCTCAGGCACCAGTAACACACTGTGGTGCACAGATAATACATGCAGACAGAATATTCAAAAAATAAAGATTTTAAGATGGGAAAGAGTTTTTCCTGAGATTTTATAAAGCTGAAATTTTTTACACATATTTTCCCTTTCAACACAGACTATCAAAAATGCGCTTGGGAGTCAAGAGTTAATAAAATCCTGGGAGCCCACACCAATTTGTTACCCCATACGAAATGGTCAGCCCTGTATACAAAGTAACATGTAGACTGAGCCGGTTATATTTATAAATGTAACAATAAAAATAAAAAGGCCATGAATTTTGAAAAAAGAGGAAGGAGGGTTTTTTTTTTTTTTTGGGAGGGTTTAGAGGGCAGGAAGGGAAAGGTAAATGATGTAACTATCTGGAAAATTAAAACTAGTTTTAAAACTATCAAGAACATCTTTTAAAAATCTACTGATAGTTAATTTTGTTACTGTGTGTAGATAGGCTCATGCTATAGTGCATGTGTGGAAATCAGGACTACTTAAAGAAATTGCTTATAAACACAAATGGTCAGGTTTGGTGGTGGGCATCTTGTTGAGCCATCTAACCGGCCCCAAGAACATCTTAAATGTAGATCGCATTATTTTTTAAGCTACAAACGAGGAATAGTGTGACTACTTGAATTGTTTGGTGCTATTGCTATTGTCTTGATTTGTTCTAAAATACCAGCAGTTTCACTTATCTTTGTTTTTGGACTCTGATTGCAAATGTTTAACACAGTCTGTAAAGGGCAGGGCCAGTAGAGATGGCTCAATGAGCTTAAGGCACTTAATGTCCTGCATGCCATTGCTTGGTCCTACGTGGTACAATGAGAGAACCAAATCCTGCACATTGCCCTCTGACGTCTATAGGTGTGCTGTAGTATGCACACACACCCCCATCCAAAAATAAATATAAAAATAAATTATTATTTTTTAATGATTTTTAGTGTGTGTTGGTATTTTGCCTGTGTATGTCTGTTTATGAGGGTGTCAAACCCCTGGGTGCTTGAGTTGCAATTGTGAGATGCCATGTGAGTGCTAGTAATTGAACCTCGGTCCTCTAGAAGAGCAGACATTACTCTTCTTAACTGCCATCTCTATTCCCCATTATATTCTTTTTTTTTTTTTTAAAGACAGATGATGTTTTAGTATTACTGTGGAAAGATTGGCCTTCAAAATGGTCTTTCAAGGCTGGTGAGACAGCTCAGTAGGTAAAAGTGCACTTGCAGGTCTGATGACCTGAATTCGGTGTCTAGAATCTACTGTGGAAGGAGACAGCCAATTGATAAAAGTTTTCTAATGGGCTACACTCACACTGTAGGCATAAGTGTGCCTACAAGCACCAGTATACACATACACCACCACCAGCAACAGCAACCAAATAATTGAGGGGCGGGACATGTATTTTGAGATCTTCAGCAGTACAGATTGTGCTTTTAGGGGTAGCTGATGTAGCCCTTTATATAGGTTTCCTTTTGCTTCCAGACCCAGATAGATGAATCGGGAATGAAGAAGCAGCAGTTAATTGAGGTATGTCATTAAGAAAATGAGCTAGGACAAGAAAGGAAAAAGTTCATTGAAAGAAGAAAGTGAATTCTGAACTTCCAAGGATGAGAGGATTAGAAAGTTGATGAGTGCAGCTCAGAATTTTTTTTCTAAGAGTAAGTGGTTCTTATACTAGTAGTTGTTGCTAAGGAAGTGAATTCAGGGAGAAGACAAAAGAAAAATCTTGGGCAGTACCAACATTTTAAGAGGTTCAAAAGGAAGAAGAGGTTAGAATTACAATGCCAAGGATATCAGGAAAGGAAATTTCAAGAAAGTTAACACTGTCTAATTAATGCTTAGAAGAAAGTCAGAATGGGACTGTTGATTTAATAATAATTTGATAATGGCATTACTGGTTAACTCTCCTGGAGTGCAGTGGTGATGGAAGCTATTCTAGAGAAGTGAAGAGTGTAATTTCTTTTGAAGTGTTTTTGGGTAAAGGAGACGGAGTTATGTTGGACTATTAATTTGAAGACACAGATTTGCGCTGAGAAATAGCCCAGTAGAAAAGATACTATGTGCTATCTGAAAGAAAAGAAAATGAAGCAAATTGATGTTACATCATGTTGTAGTTAGCTTGGTAATAACAATGTAAATTTGTGAGGAAGTTTATGAAAGCTAGATTCCCAGGCAGAAAAATAACACAGATCCTTAAGACTTGGATAACTTTTTTTTTTAATGAGAATAAGAAATTTTCTTTTCTCCTATTACTGGGTATTCTTCTTATATGGTCATTAAATCTAATAATTTAACATTTAAAGAGATTTTTCCTTTTCTTCCTGCCCCCATCCCCTTTTTGGTTTTTCAAGGCATTGTTTCTCTGTGTAGCCCTGGCTGTCGTAGAACTCATGCTGTAGTTCAGGCTGTAGATCATCTGTAGCTCAGATCTTCTTGCCTCTGCCCCCAGAGTGCTGGGATTGAAGGCATGTGCCACCACTACCTGACAAAGAGGTTTTCTTTTTAAATGAAGATAATTGTAAGCATCTGTGATTATTTCAGAATGAGACTTTTATTTTGACAATATTCAACCTGTAGTTAACAAGTGGCCCAAAGGGTTAAATTATTTTCTTGTGAAAGGATTGTGTTCCTCTCCTACCCCAAGTGAAAGACATATGAAGACTCCAGAATGGTTTCATAGTTAATTCTCGTTTTTTGGAGACAGAGTTTGGATGATAGCCTCAAGTGGTGCTTCTGTTGAAAATGTGTGTTGTTTTTGAATGTCCTTGTATTTCTGACTTCTGTTTTTTTTTTCTCTCTCTCTTTCAGTCTGTTCTCAGGGGAGGCAGTAAGGGGCCGTGGAGCTGGCCTCAGCACTGGAAGAGGCTGGACTTCCTGTCTCTCTGTGCTGAATGGCTGCGATGGCGCCCGCTCTCACTGACGCAGCAGCTGAAGCACACCACATCCGGTTCAAACTGGCTCCCCCATCCTCCACCTTGTCCCCTAGCAGTGCCGAGAATAACGGCAACGCCAATATCCTTATTTCTGCCAACGGAACCAAAAGAAAAGCCATTGCTGCAGAGGATTCCGGTCTAGACTTCCGAAATAATCCTACCAAGGAAGACTTGGGAAAGCTGCAACCATTGGTGGCATCTTATCTCTGCTCTGATGTAACATCTGTTCCTGCAAAGGAGTCTTTGAAATTACAAGGGGTTTTCAGCAAGCAGACAGTCCTTAAATCTCATCCTCTTTTATCTCAGTCCTATGAACTCCGAGCTGAGCTGTTGGGGAGACAGCCAGTTTTGGAGTTTTCCTTAGAAAACCTTAGAACCATGAATACAAGTGGTCAGACAGCTCTGCCACAAGCGCCTGTAAATGGGTTGGCTAAGAAATTGACTAAAAGTTCAACACATTCGGATCATGACAATTCCAGTTCCCTCAATGGGGGAAAACGGTCTCTCACTTCATCTGCTCTGCAGGGAGGTGAAGTGGGGGCATTTGACTCTGGGAACTTGAAGGGGGGTATGACCAATTGCACTCTTCCACATAGAAGCCTTGATATAGAACACACAACTCTATACAGCAATAATAGTACTGCAAACAAATCTTCTGTCAATTCCATGGAACAGCCGGCACTTCAAGGAAGCAGTAGGTTATCACCTAGTACAGACTCCAGCTCTAACCTGACAAATGTTAAGTTAGAGGTCAAAAAGTCTCCTCTGTCTTCCATTCATTTTAGTGCTTTAGACTCTGACACAAGGATAACAGCTCTGCTAAGGCGGCAGGCTGATATTGAGATCCGTGCCCGCAGGTTACAGAAGCGATTACAGGTTGTGCAAGCCAAGCAGGTGGAGAGGCATTTACAGCACCAACTGGGTGGGTTTTTGGAAAAGACATTGAGTAAACTGCCAAACTTGGAATCCCTGAGGTCCCGGAGCCAGTTGATGTTGACCCGAAAGGCTGAAGCGGCCTTGAGAAAAGCTGCCAGTGAGACTACCACTTCAGAGGGACTTAGCAACTTCTTGAAAAGTGATTCAATTTCAGAAGAATTGGAGAGATTTACAGCTAGTGGCATAGCCAATCTGAGGTGCAGTGAACAAGCATTTGATTCAGATGTCACGGACAGTAGTTCAGGAGGGGAGTCCGATATTGAAGAGGAAGAGCTGACTCGAGCCGATCCTGAGCAATGCCATGTACCCCTGTGAGTAGAACCCATGATGATGCAGTCATTCTTGTAAAATAGTGGGGCAAGATTTAATTAAATCCTCATTTTGTAAAGAATATAATCTTTGTATGTTGACCACTAGGTTGCATTAATCTTTTCCTAGTTTAAGGTAAGTAAATGCATATACTTGAAGTGGAAAAATGGAAGGCATTTCTGCTATAATATGTTGCTGTGTGCTAAAAGTTTTTAAATCTTATGAAAAGAAACTAGAAAACATAACTGAGTAGATTTTTTTGTAACTATAGAACGATTTAAGCCTTAATGTGTAACTTGACATTTTGTTGCTTTTAGGAAGTTGGGACAAGTGATGATTTAGTTAACTTGGTTGAAATTTAACAGTGCTTTACATTGCACTTTCAACTTCCTTACCTGGTCTGCTATTTTGTGTTAGAAAAGCAAACTTGTTTCCCTTCTGCTTTCAACTGTCTTTAACAGTCAACCTAGAGAAGGCATCCATGACCATGAATATGAATAGTTTTAATTTCCCCCCTCAACAAGGAAGTAGTCACTTGTAGTGGATAGCAGCTGGTTGTCTTGTAATTTAATTTTAATTCTGATATTTCTAGAGGTAATTGTGCCAGATCTCACAGTAGGAGAATATAGTCTTCGAGATTGCCCCCCAGTACTACTTCAGAAAACCAATTGCTAACCCCAGATTGTTTTATCTGTGCTTCTGACTACTTGGCTATAAATTAATATTCTTAAAATTTGGTTCTCATATTTGATTGATTTGCTTTAGCAACTCAGTATGCAGAAGCACTGTCTTAATATTTGTCATTTTTTGTTGTTATTAAAAAGAAAACAGGTGAATACATGCATATGGGTGAGATGAGGAAGGGAGGTGCAGAGATTCAGTGTCTTTACTCCACATTCTATTCTCTAGAAACCCCTTAATGTGTGCAACTATCTTGACGTTCTAGATTCTGTCCTTTTTGATTTTTATTGTGAAGTTTGGCTAGATAGATCTGAAATTATAATTACCTTTCACTTCTGTTTTGTGGGTAGGACCAAAAATATCAGTGGTCTAAGCCCACCTTTGTCTTTCTGGTGACTAGCTCCCATCTGCAAGTTACTTCTGGATGCCAGCCATCAGTTCAACCATTGAAAAAGATTATCACTTTGGAGAGCCCCCAAGGATTCTTTCTAGTAGTTTGGTGCCAGGAGACAAAAGACCAATATGTAGTTCACAGTATCATATTCTAAGAACTAACTAGAAAATGCTTCAGAATATTCTAAACATTGCCCTTTTCTTTAGTCCACTTTTAACTTCTTGATTCTGTTCTTTAAGCACGGTGTATGCGTACACAAGTGTGTGTGTGTATAAGATTCAATTTTTGTTTTGTCTTAATTTGAGTTCTTAATATCTGAGTTCAAAGCCAGCAGAGTAAATTCCAGGACAGCCAAGGCTACACAGAGAAACCTGTCTTAACCCCATATCCCCAAATTGCATGTGAACCATGTATGTGCCTGCTGCCTTTGGAGGTCAGAAGATGATAGTGTGGAATTCCCTGGAATAGGAGTTACAGACTGTTATGAATTGCTGTGTGTGTACTGGGAAACAAAACTTGGTTCTTTGCAAGAACAGCAAGTACTCTTAACCACTGAGTTGACTCTTAGCTCTTGTTTTTGTTTTGTGAAATCAGTTGTAATATGCACTTTTGGTTGGCCTTTATTAAAAATCATCCTGCTTTAGTTTTCTGAGGATTAAAGGTGTGTACCACCATACTCGGCTAGATGTATTTTTTGTTTTGTTTTCTTTCTTTGTTTGTTTATTTATTTATTTATTTATTTATTTATTTATTTATTTATATTCAGCAAAGTTAATTATGCAGCCCTGGCTGTCCTGGAATTTACTCAGATATCTGCCTGCTTCTGCTTCCTAAGTGCTTGGGATTAAAGGCGTGTGCCATCATCACCCACACCACCCAGCTCACTTTTTTTCCCCCCTACATTCATATACTTAAGCTTACTTGAAGGTGAATTAATCTATCTTTACTTTTTATATTTTGGCCTTTGAGACAGTTTTTCTCTGTTTAAAAGCTCTGGGTGTCCTGAAACTGGTTTTGTAGAACAGGCTCTTAACCACTGAGCCATTTCTCCAACCCAATTTTTTTTTGTTGTTGTTTTTTGTGGGTTTTGTTTTATTTTTTTTTTCGAGACAGGGTTTCTCTGTAGTTTTGGAGCCTGTCCTAGAACTAGCTCTTGTAGAACAGGCTAGCCTCGAACTCACAGAGATCCACCTGCCTCTTCCTCCTGAGTGCTGGGGTTAAAGGTGTGCGCCACTGCTGCCTGATGAGGGATTATACTTTTTGCGGGGCTGGGGAGATAGGGTCCTCCTCCTTCTACCCTGAGTACTGAGATAACATGTGATTGCTACTGTGCCTTATAAGTTTCTGATAGTAAACAGGACTTTGCGCATTAGGGATAAGTACACACTCCCAACTGAACTACTTCCCCAGGCCAAAGGAATGAGTAGCCTTTCAAAAACTTCTTTCCTGGGTTCATGTTGTTTTTCTTTCTTGTTTCATGCTTTAGTTTTGGGCTTAATTTTATGCTAACCTGTGTTCTATTTGTGTAGTAGCCTTCTAAAGCCTATTTCAAATCAGTTTCTTCAAAATAAACTTGCTGGTATGTAATAATTCAATGGCAGTGAAGGACTTTCTTTAATTTTGGATAATTCTGGGTGCAGTGGAACTACCTTTTTATTTCTTAATAGTAAATAGGGAAAATTTCATAATGCTTGTGGGATTTTGAAGAAAGTTAAGCCAGAATTTGGGGCATTAACTGCTGCAGATGTAGCTGCTCTTATGAATTGTAATATATCTTTGTTTTACAGTGGCCTTAGGTAACTCCTGTGGAAAGGATAGCGTGACCCCAGAGGGGTCAGGACCCATAGGTTGAGGACCACTGATGTAGAGAGACCCTGTCTCAAGAAAGAAAGCTTTTTCTTGCAAATCTAGTTACTACAAGAACTTGAAAGGTATGGAGGAACATTGAAGAGTATCCTGATTGGTTTTCATTGCTTAGTTTGCATTTCTGTCATTTCAGTGCCGAAGTTAGGTTTATTGTCAACATCTGATGCTTTATTTTTGTTAGCTTGTTTTGCAAGCATCAGAAAATAGGATTGATGGAATAGAGTTTTATTTTCTTAGAATTTGCGAAATTATTCCTCAAGAGTGCATAGCATAGTAAAAAGAATTATCAACTGCTGTTGAGAATTAATTCTTTCTAGGCTTGAGTTCCTTACTTAACACTTAGAGATTGCACCTTTTTCATTATTGTTAACTTGTTTTGTAATTATTGGGTCATACCTCCTTGTCTGGGAAAGACTGTCTGCACTGTTCCAACAGAGATATTCTTGCATTTTGTTGTGTGTGTTGAGGGGCCTGGTTACTTAACTCTCAACACTTATATTTTAATAGGGAGTCAGCCTGAGCTTCAGGGAGTCAGTGACAGAGCTGGAGGCCTCTTGTTTCTCTCAAGAGGCAGCCAGCCTGGTGGTGCTCTGTATGTGTGCTTGCAGTAACTGTTTAGTGTAGGTGTGTGTTCACCTGCAGAAATGAAAAATACCGGTTCGTAAGATTATGCTGTTTTGAGTGGAAGAGAAGGATGGGGTATAATAAGAATAAAGACAAAGATCTTGTTCCAGATGAAAATCCTTTTCACTTAGTAAAACTGCTTGTTGGAATAATAATATTTGATAAAATAATCTCCCTAATGAAAACTATCATTTAATCTTTCCCTTCCCCCAAAAACAAAATGATAAAACAATTTCCTTTCTGTCTTGTATTTATTGGTAAGTACATATAATAAAACTCTGTATGTGTGTGGGTATGTGCACATGGTACATATAGTTCCTGCAGAGAATAGATTAGGTTATTGGATTCCCTGGATCTGGAGTTATAGGCAGTTATGAGCAGCCTGATGTGCAGGCTGGGAACCCAGCTTGGGTCCTTTGCAGCAGCAGTGGTCATTCTTTAATGGCTGAGCTATCTCTGTCTAGCTTCCCTCCACCTTTTGTTGTTTTTTGTTTATGTAGCCCTGCTGGGCTGCCAACTCCAGACCCACCCTCACTTTAAACAGTAATGAGCGCCCCAAGTGTTGTGCCCCCCCCTGCAAAATGGTAACTTTTTAAAAGTCCGATAGAAATCTGAGGCCCTTGTTGGTGGTGGCATACACTTTTCATCCCAGGAGGCAGAGGCAGGTTGATCTCTGTGAGTTTGAGACCTTCAGAGCAAGTTCCAGGACAACCAAGGTTGTTAACACAATAAAACCCTGTCTTGCAAAACAAACAAACAAACAAAAAACAAATAAATAAAAGTTAGAAACTTAAGGCCCTTAGGTTTGAGTCCCTGTTACTGAAAAATGCCATAGAAATAAAAGTAAAGCCGTGACATTGTAAAATTGATATATGTAGAACAAATAAAGTATGTAAAGCCATTTGATCTGTCCATATCAACACAACTTGATATCTGCTTTTCAGATGCATGAAGTAAGCATAGTTGACTTCTTCGTTGACTTATTTGCCTTTTAGAAGTTTTAGTCTGGGGTAAAGAAGCTTCCTTCCTCCCAGTCCAGGGTTTATATAAATGTCCAGTTAGATGAAAATAGTATTCTTTTTAAACTGGCACTCTCCCAGGAGATTTTTCTTTTCCAAGTATTCTTTCGGCACACCCTGTCTATAGTGGATTTTGCAAGATCCTTATTCAGAAAACTGGGAGGACAGGCCTATGTAAGATGAAAACAGGATGAAACTTGCTTAACATTCATTTGTTTCTGACCATGTGTATATGAAATTCATATGCAGATACTGTCAAACATTCACAGGAGTAATTTGGCTTGTAAGGGTAAGTAGAAAATTTGCTCAGTATAGTTGATTGTTCTCCATGTTGAGAATACTTAAGACTTTATTGTAAATGATAACCTGTCAAGAAGTGGGTCCTTCATTTATTATAGAGTTGAGATACAATGTGACA